CCAAACCCCACGCTCGACCGCTCGCCACCACCACCCTTCACTTACTTGCCACCACCACTCACCACCCATCTGTCACCACCATCAACCACCTGCCAACCACAGCCACCCACTCGCCACCACCACCCACCACCACCACCACTATCACCCACTATCCACCCCGCCACCCCACCTGCCACTCACTCGCTATCACCTACCACCCGCCACCGTCACCCACCACCCACCAACCACCCACCACCACCCGCCATCTGCACCCATCACCCGCCACTGTCACCCATCCACCCACCATCACCACCCACCCGCTACTACTTACCACCACCCACCACCACCAACCATCCACCATCCACCTGCGACCACTACCCACCACCGCCACCCACCACACACCACCCACTCGCTACCATCCACCACCCGTCACCGTCACCCACCACCCACCACCACCACTATCACACACTACCCACCCACCACCACCCCACCACCACACCGACACCACTTTCCACACTATCATCTTCGCCGCCACTTGCCACCACTTGCCATTTCTCACTCTTTTTTATATTTTAAATTTTTTTAAAATATTTTATCAATTACCAAACGTGCTTATAGTTATATGTTTTTCTAAAAATAAACAAAAATCAGTTTATAAAATTTTTTATAAATATAACTGAAAACGTAAACGTTACCAACACACCAACATCTTCAACACTATATCATCAAAAGAGTTTTGAATTGAATTTTGAGTAATTTTGAGTTATGTGTTGGCTATGAATTTTGAAAAGTGATTTAAAAATTTTACCTTTGGAATCATGATTCCAAAGTCAAACCAAAACACAACATCAAATTTTCCATTAAATATATATATATATATATATATAAAATAAATTTAACAAATAGATACATTAATTAATTGTGGGACAAATTATACTAACGGTCCTATATTTGAATTTTGTGTTTTTTTGATCCATAACTTTTTAATTGTGACACATATGACCTTAAATTTTGAATTTTGTTTTCAAATAAAGATAATTAAAGATACCATTGTTCAATTTTAAGGGCAAAGTAGCCAATTTGATAAAATAGAACTAATTTGATAAAAATAAATGTCAAAAAAATATTTTAAAATTTTTAAAAATTATTTCTACCCAATAAAGATAAAGGGTTGTTTTAGGAGAACGGTTAAAAACTGATTTTTTGATTTTTTTTAATACTTTTTCTTTAAAAAATGTATAAAAGTTGTGAAAGATGATGTGAAACAAAATAATTAAAAGGAGTATGTGTTTGGATAACAATATACGTAATAGGTGGTTATTTTTATTAAATTAGTTTCTATTTTTTCAAAGTCAAAGATGGCGATAACTGTATATATCATTTTAAATCAATCTATTAAATCAAAAAATTCAAAACTAAAAATATTTCATATATTAAATATATCGATTACATATTAAAAGCCTAGCAATCACCCATTACATAATTATAATCCAACACACATAATAATAAATTAATTTAGTAAAATAAATAAATAAAAAAAAGGTAAATTTCACTTTATCCCCTTATAATTTAGGCCATATACAGATTACTCTAACATTCGAATATCACACATAACTCCCATATGGTCTATAGAGTAAAGTATATAGTTAGTTTTTCCATCCAAATTAACATACGTGAGATTCACGTGCCATGAAGAGAATAAATTATGTTTTATGACCAAAATACCCTCTCTATATATATAAACTCCCTCTCAATCTCTCTCTCTCTGTTGAAACCAAAAGTTCTCTATCTTCTCCGTTGAAACCAAAAGTATGTAGCTGTTGTTAATGGAGTTAATCTTAGTGTGTGGGTGATTTTCCGACCACACTGCCCGTTTAGTGATCAGCAGCAAAGCACCGGCAGAATAGATGGCTCCAGCAACCTGTTAACAGAAAGGAAAAGCTCCGGCGGTGGTTCTTCACCCGGGGGCACTCCGACGATCAAGTCAGTATGTTTTCTCAAGGATAATCAAGTGTATTAAACTGAATACTCAAAGTATGAATTACATACCTAGACCCACGGGGGTGCTCTCTTTTATAATATACTTAATCCAAGTCCAACTAGAAATATGACTTCTATGTACCCCAATCTTAGTACTTACTCTGGACTCTTTAGGAGATAGAGATAAACTCCCTAAGAGGTTTATCCTTATCTTAATTAAGTCCCCTCTTTGCTTCAGGACTCTTGTCCCTTATCTTCGGATTCCGACATCTTCGGAGATGACCTCGGCTTCCCCGAGATTAACCTCGGCTTAACTACCAGGGCACGTGGCACCTCGGCTGACACGTCGGGCGTCACCATGCCACATGTTGGTATTTCAGAAAATATGTCCCCAACAACTGCCCCCTAGGTTCCATTACCTCGGCATTCTGAGGTGATGGAATCTATTCCGAAATTTTGTCACTTCTTTTCTGAGCAATGGCTCAAAAAAAACTGTTTTGCCAAGATTATCTTCTTTCAGCCGACGTGTTCCTTCGGAGAACGAGGCTTCGGTCCGTACCTCTAGCGCGCATGAGCTGTCATGCATATCCAACTGTTTCTTTTACGTGTTTCGTCTTTATTGGAGCGTGTCAGTGACGCGCCTGAAGCTGTCTGTTCGTTCGTCTGCGCGTCTGACGCATGCGTTGCTCTAGGCGCAATAATTGCCACTATTTTTGCCGCCGTTTCCAAATTTTTGACAAAACTCTTTTTTGCCTTCTCTTTTCTTCACTTTTTCATTCTGTCTTCTCGTTCTCTCTCTTTCTGAAAGCTTTTTCTTCTTCGAATCCGCCATTGCTTCAAACTTTTCTCTGGAACTGCTTTTGATCCTTCATTCTTGCAAAAGCCCTCTTTGTTGTTGCAACTGGTTTCTGGGTTCGGTGAGCACTGCCTTGGCTTCATTTGTTCTGGTAAGACCCTTTCTTTTAATTCTTCAATTCTCTTTATGTGCTTTTGTCTGTCTACTGCCATTACTGATTTTGTTCGAGGTCTGGGATTTATTTGTCTCTTGAATTTGGTGGCTATACTTTGAGCTTCTATGCCTTTCTATTTCTTTTTTGCCGCTGTTTCTTGATTTTTTCTGTATTTCTATTGCTTCTGAGAACTATCACCTCTGTTCTTGATCTGAAACTTCGTCTTTGTTTTCTTCTTTTTTGTATCTGTCCCAGATCTGTGCCCTCGATCTTTATCTTCATAGTTCATAGATTTGGGATTTGTCTGTAGAAAACCCTTAATCTTTAGGGAAACCTGAAAACGCCCACCTTCTGAAACAGATTCCTCTTAGTTTAAGCCAAACATAATGGGTATGTGGAGGCCATAGGGTGAATACCCCAACAAAACTTGAAATACTTAGACAAGAATTCTCTATCCAGCCGATGTTCATCTTAAATGGCTGGGGATAATGATACCACGTGCCCACAGATCATACAATGCCCTTTCCAATAGTTGCTTTTACCAGAATGCCCCTATCGTAGCCTGGCGTGCATGAGTGGTAGCGGGCTGGCGTGGTTGGTAGTGGTGGTAGCAGCGAGGGGTATGTGGTGGCTGGTGAGTGGGTGGTGGTTGGTGAGTGTGGTGGCAGGTGGTGGTGGCAGTGGGGGTGCGTGGTGGTGGCGGAAACGGTGGTGTGAAAAATGATTAGCGGGTGGGCTAGTGTTGGGTGGTAAAAAAAAAAAAAATTGAAAACTCAAAACGAAAACACATTTTTGTTTTCATTTTTTGTGCAAATTATAAAACTGAGAACCACTGATTTATAAATAAAAAATTTTACCAAACAAGTTTTTATTTAAATTTTAAATTTTTGTAAATATAAACAGAAAACTGAAAACGTAAGTATTACCAAACGGCAGTAATGGAATTGTTAAATTATTTTATAAAAAATCTAAAAAAAATAATTTTATTATTTAAAATATCTAAAATAAATATATATATATATATATTTTTTAAATTACAGATTGCAATTGTCAAAAAAAAAAAAAAAAAAAAAATTGCATGACGTCTGAGAGGATATTGATAGACCTAATCCACTATTTTTAAAAGTTAAAATCCAAAAATTCTTTTAAAAACTTATAACTAAATAAATTTTGTTTTCCAAAACTCAATTCACAGCACACTTAAATCATAACTCCTTCCAAAAAAAAAAAAAAAAAAAAAAAAAACATCACAATTTCAAAACTAAACCCAACCCAACGTTAATAATTAAAATTTGTGTGTTTAAATCTAAAACTAAAAGGTTGCCGGCAGTTCTCGACACGAGGTAGAAAAAGTAGCGTTCTCGAAGCTCACCGTAGGGTGCTATGCTCTGCTCTCTCTCCCTGCCATGGCTTCAACTTCAGCACCAATTCACTCAATCAACGACACTCCCACCAACGACAGTAGTAATCCTGCTTCCTCATCTTATTTTCAAAAAACAGTAAGCCTCTCTCACTCTCTCTCGATTCAAAACCCTCACATGTTTCTTTGGTTTGATTTCTGCTTTTTTTAATAGGTTTGTTTGCATGATTGGTGGTTGATTATGGCTGAAAATGATTTCCAAGGGAAGAGACTTGCCGTTGCTGGGCTGACCTCTCGAGAGTAAGGCTTTTTTTTAACTTTTAGGGTTTTTTTTTTTTTTTTTTTTGGGGGGGGAGGGGGGGATTTCATTTGTATGTGTCAATTGTGCTGTTATGATTAGTGGTTTTTTATTTAGTTTTAAAAAATTTATGCTTTTAAGCAAAATGTGAGTTAGGAATGGTGCAAAGTTTTAATATGCCCGCAAGAAAATGAGCTATCACATGTTTTTTTGTTTTTTTATGGATACCATATGAAGGGCTTCTTGAATAAGGGCTTTTTTAACTAAGGGCTTCTTGATTTGAAATTATTTGAAGTGTAAATTCAACAAATATGGGTCGGAAATCGGAACTTAGAAATGTTGAGGGAGAGGGGAAACAAAGAAAGCAATAGTATGGTAGCTGAAATAAGCGAATTTATGGATCGTAGTTCCTAAAGGTGGGCAGAGGCCTGACAAAAATGCACCAAGCTTATCAAGCCACGGCCAAAGTGTCTCACTATACATGGGACTCCTTACAGTGAAGCACATGCAATGCAAGGCAGTCAATTATGCCTTCTTTGTAGGTTCCATGCTCTTGAAAATCTCACCTTCATTTTCCAATTATTCAATCCATTAATGATGTAAATACTTTAGCTTTTACAGCAGATATTTTTTAGCATGGGGTTAAAACGACAAGGTTCTTTGTTCAAGTATTGATATCATACTTACCCATATGCTTCACTCAATCACAATGTAATAGAAGTGATTGATACAGGAGATCCTCTAAGGCTGTGTTTGGTTCATGGATTTGGGGAAAGATTTGAAAAGGAAAATATTTCACACATATTTTCCCTTTTCCCTTTCCCTTTTCAAATCCATCCCCAAATCATGAAGTAAAAATAGCCTAAGTGTTCCAATGAGCAGATCGACTCTTGGATGAATGTTCAATGTGCTTGGAGAGCCTGTTGATAATTTAGGTTCTGTATATATTCACACATCATCTATTACTATGGATTGGTACTAGTCTATCAGACTTTGCTCCAATTATATTATAGTTTATGGACTAGAGAGCATCAGTGCTTTGAGATTATGCTTCAATTTAAGTTTTCTTTCCCATTGATATTCATCCTCTATAACATATATCAAATGGTAGGATGCCAATGTGTCTTACATGAAAGATATTTTCTCTGAATGGACAATAGTTTGCTACTTCCTTGCTGTCTCTTTAATCATAATTTTTCTTTTCCATAGACTGTTCATTTGAAATTCTATCCAATTGCATTTTTATGGTTTTAATTTCTTGTTCAACTAGCTACGTATTTTTGAGGTTGTGATTTGTTTTAAAAATGTTTAGCTGACGTGGGACTTCTAGTGCTTTTGTTGTCCAATATTTATTTTCTTTTGTGCTGCAGGCAACAAGCTGTGCGAGTGTTCTCCTCTGCACCAATTCTTAAGAGATATGATGTTTTCACTCTTGAGACAGTTGATGGGATATTTGTTCTCATCAAAGGCTTCATAAACAAGGATCGCACAAAAGAAAATGGATTTCCCTCTGAGGTATGTAAATGTTTGTGTTTCTTCCACTTTCTTAGATTTGGTGATTTGTATGGATTAATAAATAATTTAAGAATGGACTAACTGGTATGTTACTTAGATCCTTTGCAGACTATACCATAAAATTCACCTATGTCATACACTTTTGTGATACAATACAACCATTTAAACCTGGATCCTGTCATAATAACAGGTCAAGTGAGATCATTTGATGACGGTGATGGTCATTGAGTAAGGGAATGCTTCTTAAGCTTAGAGCATCTGGCTCAAGCTTGGCTAGGTGCCTTTGGTTTGGGAGAAGCTATAATCAGTTAGGCAGGTGTCATGCTACAGCTCCGTTTGGGAAGATGGTTTATGGGCTTTTTTGGCTATTTTAGCCACAAAAGACAAAATAGGTTATTTTAGCCACAACAAACAAAATATCACATCCAACCCATAATTATTACACTATTTTTTTACAAAAAAAGTCAAAAAAGCCAAAAAAACCCTTCCCAAATCAAACTTTTTAGCCCACGCTAAAATAGCCAAAAAAATCAAAAAGTCAAAAAACTAACTCACTTCCCAAACGAAGCCAGGTTGATACGCAAATTGAGTTGAGACTTTGTATGCATGGGTTGAAAATTAGTCATTTCTGTATGCATACTTCAAATGGTAGAAAGCAAGTCTTGAATGGTGGAATCCTGGCACACCATACAGTCATTTTTTTCCTGTGAGAAGGTGCACACATAAAGGCTTTTGTGTTGTTTAACGGTTGCACAAGCACTGGATTTGGCAAATCTAGAAGTTGTGATTCCAAATCATATACTCATATGTTTATTATTTCTTTTTTCTTACATATAAATTACTATGAGAGATAGCAGATTGACTAAATAAAGTATCATGTTTTTCTCATTTTTTATTTTCAAGGAAAAAAAATATGCAAGAAAATCCATCTGTGTCTAGATCTACTGTATTCATTAACACGTCATTGGGTTGCACTACTGCACGTTTTGTTATGTATATTTCACATAGACATAGCTCAAGGTTGTTTTTAATCTTTTTATGAGTAATGCAACAATTATATGTTTCCAATGACGTGTTACAACTATGCTTGCAATTGATGACATGCCAAATTGAAGTTTAAATTTTAGCTCGTGCTCTGGATAGGTGTTCAATCATTTTGTATTTGGTTTCCCTCCTTTCTGGGAGGAATATGCTGAGAAGTGCTTGGGGGAAGGATTTAGCAATGAGGATGTTTCAAGAAGCACCTCGGATCATGACAAGTTATCCACAGATTCAGGAAGTAGCATGCACTATGCCAAATTGTTTAGATGTTATTAATTACCAGAATATTTTTTTTTTTCACTTTTCCAGACTGATCAATTTGACATTTCTATATTAACATTGTCTCATATTCTTCTTGCTTGAAATTTTTCTTCTGTTGCAGGTATTACTGATTTTAGTGAAGAAACTCCAAACAGAAATAAAAAGGGCGTCAGTGGGGAAAGGCATGATAGCGGTGACAAAATGGATTTGAGTTCAGAAGACTCTGGAAATATGTTCTCAACAAAGAAACAACATAAACTCCAAGATGGTGCTTCTAATGAGTCTTCAGTTGAAGATCCAAAAATATGCTCTTCTCAAGTAGTGTCCGAGATGAACATTGGCAGTGCTTCAACTGGTTTCGACCTGCAAAATGATGTAACTGACTCATTTAATGGCGTTGAAGATGAATTTCATGTCAACATTGGTTCAGGAATCTCTAATGGTGGCAGCAAAGGTACTGTAGAAAGATTTCCTTTGACATCAAAAATTGTGGTTCATCCAGGTTCCACAGCAGGTCCAGTAAACAGGGATGTTTGTGATGTGGAAAGTGATACCATAGACCCTCCTTTATCATTTCATTCTGATAGGAATACTGTCAATTCATTTGAGGTTGACATTGCAGTGCAACCGAAACATGTAGGCAGTTGTGTGGCAATATCTTGTGAGAGGAAAGACCTATCAAAAAGTGATGGGAAAGGGAAGAAAAGGACGAGGGGTGAGTCAGAAAGAGAAGGATCAGACAACCTTATCATTTTGAATGATAATGTCAATTTGGATGTTGCATCAATAGAATCTCCATTACGAAAAAGAACCAATGTGTCCAAAGTTCATAGGTGTAAATACACAAAGGCTGTGCCTTTGGAGACTTCAGGTATGAACCTGAAATCATCGGCTGAAAGGTCAGAGAGTCCAAGAACGAATTACAAAGATGAGGAGAAGGTTATGTTGGGAAATGTAAGTGCAAACCTTTCTACAATTAAATTATCCCTAAACCCTGAAGCTGGAAAGCAAAGGAAGAAGACGAACAAGGCACTGAAGTCTTCCATTGGGCTTGGTGATGCAAACCTGAAAGAAGACTTGGAAATTGGAGTCAGCAAGAAAGAAACTAATGATAAAAAAGCAAGCAAATCTAGTGGGAAAACCAAAAGAAAATTGACATATGTTAGTAAGCTGTCCCCTGAACTTCTACATCTAAATTGCTTTGTTCACCTTGATCTAGAGATGCTAATGTTATTAATATATGTATATATGTATAAAATTTTCTTCTGTTAGTTTGATATTAGCAATTTCCCCATGCCTTAGAACAAGCCAAGTTACATGATGCTTAAATTATCAGGCAATATTAATATATTGACTATGTTGCAATGCTATTTAACTGGAATAGAAGTTTAAGGTTTTTGGCTGCATAAAGATTATTTCTGTGGAACTATTGGAACTGGTCTTCATTATTATGATTGAAGATCATCAGTAGAGAAAAATTGGAGCCTCATTTACCTCTGGAGTGAAGTTTTTTGCAGAATTTCTTGATGTTATCTTTTGACTTTTGGATATGTATTTTTATTCGCAATTATTGATTTAACCAGGTGTACTATCTTTTATTTTTCACATTTTTTCTTGTCACAGTTTAAATATTTTTTTTTCTTGTTTTTATTCAGGAAAGTCCTGTAAGCCAGGGAGGAACAGAGAAAGCATCTTTTATTTCTCCAGAATCTTTGAGTTTTAAAAGATCTAGATCAGGTAAGTTTGTGATACTATAAAACCACTTGCAGATATATATTTTCATGGCCTGTTATATCCTGTTGCATCATCAACCATAAAAAGGCTGATCTATATATTTCTCTCTGTCTCTCTCTCTCTGGTTTTTGGTGTATATATTTCCTTTCACAGTTTGCTAACTATTTACTATTTTGCTCAATTAATTCCCAATCATAACAAGTGTATTGTTGTATAAGAGCAGTGGGGAATTTGGATGAATTTTTTTTTTCCACTATGCTTTTCTTTACATTGTCCTAATATTCTTTGGAAATGAAAGAACAATAACTTGGATTTCTTTATTCACAATTTTATTTTCAGATTGGTTCTTGCCCATGTACTCAATGTTGATTATTTTGCAGGAAGACTACTTCTACCCACCCTACAATTCTGGCGCAATCAAATGCCGATTTATGATAAGGTTTTTGATGATTTCTAGGCTTATGAGTTGTTCTTTGCATTTGCTTTACTTGCATTGAGTGGATGGCTGGATGCAACTCTACTTTATGAACACACAATTCTGCGCTTGTGCAAAACTTTATTCATCTGATAAGTTTGAATGTGGGGGTTGTTGACAATTTTACTCCACCTGATTAAATTTTCTTATTGAGTTGAGAGTTTCTATATGTAGATACTAGCCTCTTTGCACATGCAATGTGTGTGCAAGTAATAATGTGCGAGTAATCGCTAGAGAAGATGTGTGGAAGTTATATGTAAAGCTATTTGTTGAAGGTGGGCTACTTGATCCTTCTTCTCCAATTGGCTTTATGTAAAGCCATATATTCAATTGCCTAATCACATCCATTTTGGTCTTCCTTTTGTCGTCTTTGCAACTTCAAATTGGAAAATTGTAAGATCTTTGTTGCTTAATAATATTTTCTGCTTCTTTCTTCTAAGGACACTTGCACTTCATTTGTTTTCAGGATCGTCAAATTACTGGAATTCGAGAAGGGGAAGGCCTTCGCGGTGTAGAACCATCTAGAGGTACCCTATAATTATGACTTTTTCGTGCAAGTTAAAAGATAATCTGTCTCCGCATTCTGACAGTATTGTGGTAGGATATACATTGCAGTGCAATTTGTACCTACTTATTTTAAAATAGGAGAGACTAAATGCACAGCAACAAAGGCTATATCCACAGCCCTCCCTCACACAATTGGACCACTCATGTGCGGAGGGAGGGCTATTGAGTGTGTTGTTTGGTGGGTGGGTATAAATGTTTCAGGGATCAGTCCTGCCATATGTTTCTTAGTCAAGAAGTCGATTGGATCCCAAATTTTTTTTATAAAACATATCTTCAATTGATGCATATGGTTTGTTCTTTTTTAACTATTATTTTTTTTGTCGGCTTTTTTAACTAACATTTTCCCATGTGTTATATATGCCTGCTGATCTTGGAGATTGACTGCTTATTTTGGATCCTATGGCATTTTTTTTTGGGGGGGGAACTTTGCCAATGTACGAATTTTAAGGATAGCTTGCTTTGTTGGCAGGAAGTAGATCTGAACCTCAAAGATAAGCTTGTTGCAGAATCTTCCCCATGAAAGGTAGACAAATTTGATTTTGACCTTGTGGCGAACGGAGAGATGTAAAAAATGCTTAAATAAAAATCCTGATTTGTTTTTTTTTTTTTTTTTTGGGGGGGGGGGGGGGGCACAAGAAGAAATCCAGGATATCATCTGTTAAAATTGGAAAGATTAGCTTTTCGGCAATCTAAAAACTAGGAATACAATCACAGGGGGAAGACCTTTCTTGTTGTCACCACCTCAGGAGATTTTCATTGTGGTGGGAAGTGAACAAAATATTGTGCACCAAGCCCAAAACATGTATCGCAGTAAACAACTCACTCACCTATGTTGGAACTGTCTGCTTTGATGGCATTCTCTACAACGGCAATTGTGTGGTAGACAGTATTAATTGGGCCTAGACTCTTAGCATCATGCATATTTTTGTAGAGTTTAATGTTGTGTTTGGTTGAAGGATTTGAGGAGGGATTTGGAAAGATAAAAGGAAAAGGTGTGTGAAACTAGGTGAAATGTAGGTATATTTTATTCACATTTCACTAAACTTTTCCGTTTTCTTTTCCCTTTTCAAATCCCTCTTCAAATCCTCCAACCAACGTAAGAGAGCACGAGAAGAAACGGTGCATTTCATTTTTTCTTTTTTATTCGATTTTTTTTTTTTACATAAAATATTCTTCTTATTGGCAGATTGATAAAGAAAATGAAGATACGGCATCCAAAGGAGATGAAGTCGATACCTAGATCACTGGGGGTGCATGTATTTGTATGGGGTCTCATGTAGTATGTATTTGTACAAAATAACCTTTTATTTTTCTTTCCTTCTTTTTTTGTATTTGTATGGGGTCTCATGTATTTGTATTTGTATAGTATTAGTTTTTATAATGAAGCCTATTCAGTCAAGAAATGGTTTTCAATTGACTTGTAATTTTTTTTGTTTCAATTTCGAAGCACAAGAAATTTTATATAGGTCAATACTTGCTATCATTTACTTTCTTGGTTAGCCAGATACTTTATAACATTTGTAGCCCAATGGTAGACAAGTATAGTAATGTAGTTGTGTTTTGATTCATGTGTGTTTCTCACAACATTGTGATTGAATCGGTTTTCAATAGCAAGCAGGACTTTTTTAGCCGTTTCATGTGAAGAAATAGTTTTTTTTTTTCTTTTTCTTAATTGAAAATTGAACTTCTATGAATGTTTTAGTAAAACATAGAAGTAAAATTGTTTGGGAAATTCATAATTTTAATGTCTTTTTTTTTTCTATTATAATAAAAATAAATAAATAAAAAACCTCCAAAGCTGTGTTTTAATTGTGGTGTTTTAATTATGAATTCGGATAGATATTTAAAAAAGAAAAGAAAAAAAAGATAAAATATAAATAAAAAATAATTACATTTTATCCATATTTTTTCTTTCATTTTTCCAAATCCCTACTTAAATTTAAATTTATAATCTAAACATAACCAAAATCAATTCCTAGGAAGATGAAAATGTAGTATTAGGTCACTCCACAAGCAGAGAGTTCTGCTACTCATTCCTTCCCTCCCTCCATCTCTCTATATGAAAGTTGAATGTGAATTTAACATAGCAAACTCCCTAGACATTCACACCCGATCAATTGAAGAAACTGGAAACATTAAACTCACAAATCAATGAAGTTATATCTTCATGAATAGCCACACAAAATCAAAAACAATAATCTCACAAATCAATGTAAGTCCCATTCTTCATGGATACCAAAAAAGTAAAATTCAGCGCTGAACTTCTAAAACATTCAATCTTTATTAACATGGAAATAGTAACAGATTGATGTTCAATCCCAATGCATGAAACACGGCACTGAACTTGTTTCTACATCAAGCATTCAGAAACTCACCTGCAAACCACAGATTTTTACCCGTTAACAAGTGTGAAAACACACAGAAACTGCCTTAAAATCTACAGGGTTGATAAATAATAATAAAAAAAATCAAGAAAACAAATATGAAAGGGGCAAAAGCTGCTTTGTAAAGTATCAAACAAAGATCTTTACCAATACATCAAAGCTCTCACCTTAGGACTCTTGAAACAAGAAAGATGAATGAATAGCCATAATTAAGTAGCTCACCAAAGAGTCGAATTATTAGGTGTCAACAAAACAAAGATGAGAGCAAAATTTTAATCTGTGAAAAGAGAAAATACCTTCGAAGCTCACTAACCGCATGTTTGGTTTGAAGGAAGAAACGAAAGAAGAGAAAAGGGGAGAGGAAAACAGGATGGACATTACTACCTGTTTGGTCTGAAGGAGAAGGGAGGGAATGGAATGAGGGAACGATCATTCTCCACAGCCCACTATGCCCACAAAATGGTCAAACAACAAGATAGATAGCAATCAATAAAATCTGGCCAGCAAAACAACAACACTGCCCTCCAATAATTCACCCCTCAACCGTTTCATCTGCCCAATTATGAGTATAATGATAAAATGATTTTAAACTATTCACTTCCCTTTCCCTATATCCGTTTTCCTTTCTTCATTTCTCTCCTTTCTGTTCGTATATTTAGTGCAAACTGTCAACCTGTGTTACATGGACTCGGCACTTTGGGGTGAAGTACCCGTGTCGACACGACACGACACTGGTGCAGGTGTGGGATCTGTGTCGGATTCGGCTGTTCTCTCTCGGACACGGCTCTTTACAGACAGCAAAAATGAAAGAGGAGAGAGCAAGAGAGAACCTGGTCGAAGCTCCATTCAGTTGATCCAATCGAAGTCGAAGATCGACAACCTCCAGTCGAAGCTCCATCGGGTCGATCCAGCCGAAGATCGAAACTCCATCAGTCGATTGAACAGTCGAACACCCCAGACGACTCTCTCTTTCTCTCGCCTTCTCTCTCTCCCTCGCGATCGCGATCGCGATCGATCGCATCGCTTCGCTTCTCTCCCTCTGTCTCTCTCTCTCTCTCTCTGTCGTTTTATTCTTGACGTGTCCCTCTCTTGATTCATATCTATATCTATTCGTATATATCTATATAAAATAATAATAGTTAATAATTATTATATATTATATAATAATTATTGTATAACATATAATATATTTATAAGATAATATATACTTATATTTATAATAATAACTATTATTATTATACATTATATAATAATTATTGTATAACATATAATATATTTATAAGATAATATAAACTTTTATATATATATATTAATAAAAATAAATAAATACATATATGTAAAATAAAATAAAAAAATTAATCAGAACATATTATTTAAAAAATCTAATAAATAAATAAAATAATTAATGTATATTAAAGTAAAAATATTTATAAAAAAATAAAAAAATTTGCCGTGTCCCCTGTCGTATCCATGTCTCCATTTTTTAGAAATTGTCATGTCCCGTGTCTGTATCTGTATCCGTATCCGTATCCGTATCCGTATCCGTATCCGTATCCGCGCTTCATAGATTTTTGTTTGTTATTTATATAATATAACTCATCTTAATAACTATATTTTAAAAATATATGTATATATTTAACGTATTCCCGTACCCGTATCCAAATTTGGATACATATCCACGTATCCTTAATTTTTAATTTTGAAGTGTCCGACCCCTAGATACGCACCCGCACCCGATACCCGTACCCGAGTCCGTGTAACCTAGCTGCCAACAATGGACTTAGAAGATGCCAACGTGGGTCAGGGGGCATTATACTTGGTCTATGTTGCAGATAATCATACAAATCTCATATGAGGTTCCCCACTTATCTTCAAACCATACTTCTAATTAATTCCCCCAGAATGTGGGAATCTACTAGCATTTTAGTAATAAAAAAAATAGAATAATAACCACAACACACCCTTTTGGTGAATCTGAAGCCCTGCTTCTATGTTCTTGTGACACATAGTTGCTAGCAATCTAAAAAAGTAAGTACTTACAAGCCTCAAATTAGAAGACAACTTTATCTAATGAAAGGAAAGGATAAAATAAGTCAATCGCCACTCATCACCATCACCACCTTCCATCTAATCTATGAGTGCACGACACCACCACTGTAATTACAATTACAACACCGAAAGCACCCCAATATTCACAGTTTGTTAGCTATTGAGATTCTCCAACCGTGATCATGCCATTTGCAAGCATCACACTTGAACCTCCCCATGAGCAACCACTTTATCAAACTTTCCACAGACCATCACAACTCCTCAAAGGTTAAGCCACCACCATCCCCAATTTGCATATCCCCGATATTACACCACCTCAAATCACTTCCGTCTTGTATCATTCTACAGCATGCTCCATTAGACCTAATCTACCACCAACCCACATTCTATAATTTCACATTTCTGAGATCACAAACCATGTTCCTACTCAAACCAACTGAACATCCACAATTTAGACAAAAAATGTTACTCCATCCATCCCATTTATGTGCCCTAAACTTTGAAGAAAGCAAGTTATGATTATAATTACAAATAAGAATAAAAGTTCCTTTTGTCTTATTTAATAAATATTGGGAATTGACTGTATTTAAATATAAATTTAAAAAAAGGTTATTAATTAGGGAAACTGATGGTTAAAATTTTTAACTTTACAAACTAAGACACATAAAACGGGACTTAAAAAAATAATAATAATAAAAAATTGCACACATAAAATTGGACCCGGGGGGTAGAGTTTAATTTCTCCAACCACATCTTCCATTTAAACACATTTTATTGGGCAAGAATTACATTGCTTACTGAATTTGAAAACTTCAAACTAACTCAAGTAGAAGTTGTTTTCCTAAGAACTTTAGATCCTTAAGTTTTGGGAAAAAGTGTGCCACATTTTAGGTGCAATTTCAATTAAAGAACCCTTGGTGTCAATGCAACCACGAGAATTCTCTTTTATTTCCTACTATAGTTGTCATGGAATGGAAACAGTGCACATAGGCTACGGCATCTTAATGTATGAAGAAAAATCTACAATTGTCCATGCATCTTTACAATTGTTCTAGCATGACTGCACGCGTTTAAAGGCCTTGCAAAAATGCACAAGGCATAACATAAAAGTGACAGAACAAACACATGCAGTCCTCTTTTCGACAAGATTTAGTTCAATTGAGAATTCAAAACACCATATCAGGCTTTCATTAACACAATTCATGATACGATCAACATTCAAAACCATGAATTCCAGTAGATCTGACAGCAAAATTTAGCAAATGAATCTAGCAATATTAGGTTTATCCATCCATCTATACACCGAAATGTGAACCCTAACTAAATGCAGATAACAAAAAGAAGGATAGATTTCGATGGAAATTAGGGCAAAATGAGAGATTCACCTCTTGTGCCTCTGCACGAAAGGTGAGTTCTTTGCATCCTCCTCTGCAATACGATTCCAATATCAATTCGATTAACAAATTAGGTTTTCAAAAAAGTCAAATAATGAAATGATCAGAGAGAGCGAGAGAGAGACGGTACCGGTAAGGCCGAGAGATAACTTGGTGATGACTGTACCAGTTATGGCGAAACCGACCAAGAAAGGCCAGTTCCGACTCCATTCTCTCCGGAAGAAAACGGGCCATGGATCGAACTTCCTCATCTCTCTCTCTCTCTCTCCCCCCGCTCTGATCGCAGTTTCGATGGCTTGGTAGACGCTCTGCCCCGTTTGCCTTTAGATGGGAGGTGATTGAAAGTGAGTGATTAAACAGCAATAGTATCTAACCCGAATTTTTATGATAGCGTTTTGACACATTTAAACGATACGCGAATTTTTATGATAGCGTTTTGACGCATTTAAACGATAGCGTTTTGACACATTTAAATGGGTGTCTTTATTTATTCATCACTTTTTGTTTTAATGAGATCCCGTTTGGAAAGTTTTCTTTTTAGTTAAAAGTAAAAAAATTACTAAATTAGTTAAAAAGTCAACAATTTATATTAAAAAATTGAAGTTTTTTTTTTCTTTTTATTTTTTACATATCTTTTTATAAAAAGTCATTCCAAACATATTAGTTTTTTTACAGGAACTTACCAATAAGTCTCATATACAAAGTTCAAGGTCCACCTAATCCTAAAACAAAACACTTGCACCAATTAGTCCTACATATTTTTAATTATTACCAAAAAATCCTTTTTTTTTTAAATTTATAGATACTGTTATATCTTATTACCGTCAAACTTTCGTCAAACGGTCACCGGAGACTCGTCGAAATGTTCAACATCACCGGAAAGTCACCGGAGTATTGCCGAAAAGTCACCGGAGTATCGCCGAAAGTTCACCAGAGTGTTAAGAACGTTAATGGAAGTCGCCGGAATGTTCAGAACGTTCACTGGACGTTAAGAACATCACTGAAGACTCACCAAAATGTCTGGAATATTGCCGAAAAAAAAAAAGAATAACTGAAGAAATTAGAGCAAAAAAACATAGCAAAATGTGTTAAATATTGATAAACTAAAAGAAAAAAAAATGAAACGACAAAAAACAGCAACAATGGGAAAAACATACGCTATTTTTCAATTTTTGTAACATTTAAGCAAATAATCTCCAATATTGATCAAACTGAAAAGTAAGTTTTGAAACTGTAAAATGCTGCAGTTTCAAAGCAAAAATCTATTAAGCATTTATCCTTATTAATCAAACTGAAAAAAATGTTATGAAACTGTAAAATTTTACAGTTCTAAAGAATGTTATGAAACTGCAAATCCAGAACCAAAAAAATTTGAAACTGTAAAATTTTACAGTTTTAAACCATTATTCATTCCAGCACTAAAAAAATTTAAAACTTCAAAATTTTACAGTTTTATACCATGATTCATTCCAGCACCAAAAAAATTTGAAACTGCAAAATTTTACAGTTTTCACCGCTTGTAACTAAAACTCGAAAGCTACTTGTTCAGAACTTGAAAATTTTCTCCATTAGAACAGAAAAAGAGAAGTGTATAACAGAGAAAATGTAGAAAAAAATAAGAGATCGAAGAAGAGAGGCGGATATAGAGAGAGGATTGTACTCCGGCAACTATTTTTTGTTTAGATCTAGCCAAATCTAATGTAGATTTACTTAGATCTGATGTAGATATACATCAGATCTAAGTAGATCTACATCAGATCTAAATAGATCTACTCATCTTCTTCGTCGGAAATATATCTTCTTCGCTGTCGGTAAGGGTGAAGTCAATGAGTTGATTTCGATGGTTGGTGGTTACCGATGAACCCCGATCAATGGAGAAAGACGTAATCACCGGTCGTCGTCCATGATAAAGAAGATGAGAGAAAAATACAGAAAAAAAAAGAGAGAGAGAAAAATGTAAAGAGTGAGGCAAAAAGCAGAGAGAGAGAGAGAGGAAAGTAGGACTTTTGGGTCTACTCAAAAAGTTGTTGGATTAAATGGTGTCCACATATTTCAAATAGGACCTGTGGGTAATTTTTTCTTTTTTTTTAGCTCATATTTTAGCCAAATAACCAAAAAGTTACTAAATTAGCCTGTTTCCAAACGAGGCCTGAATATCATTAATTAGTTTATTTTTTATTACAATATTAATTTAATATAAAATGACCACAAAAAATAAAAGGTTATGATACACACCTTACGTAATACACACCAACTACTCATTGCACACCACATTCAATTTTGATTTTTTTATTTTTCACTCAATACACACTATTAATTTTCAAATATTCCCAAAATACCATCATCTTCTCTAACCATAACCATAACCATAACCATAACCCTAACCCTAACTCTATTCTGCAACCGTCAACCTATTTTCAAAGTGACATTACCCATTGGCAACTATTGGTCCTTGTTAATTGAAGGTGTTAAGCCTAGTTGCAAACCTTACCATTGATTTGATAGGGAATACAATCATAAAGAATGATGATAAAGAAAAAAAGATTCGTGAAGCCCATTCCAAGTAATTGGATATGGGTTTATTTATGTGAGTTTTACATGTTATTGTATAAAAATCAAATGAAAGCATAATAGGTATTGATATTGATTTGAAACCCCCTCCCCCCCCGGGACCTTCGATTGGCGGTGGAATGTTAACATATAACTCACATAGCATGGGTGTTATACGGAAAAATAGAATAAGAAGTTAATGTCTTTCGGAAATTAGAAGTTGCATTGACTAAATATGATTTTAGTTGGTTTGGTTTTATGAAATATAATCCAACTATGTTGGTGTGAATGAGATGACTGGATCCTGCGCTAAAATAGATTCAAGAGGAAAGCAAAAAATAATGTTGGTTGATGCTATGAGACATGATATGATTGCCTTGGTCTCAAGGAGGGTATGGCTTTAAATAGAGTTGAGTGGGATGAGTTATTTACTCAAGCAATCAAGTGACTAGGATTAAGCAATCGAAGGATAAAGATGTAATAAAAAATTTTAAGGAAATAGAATATTGAAGATTGTGGGTGGGGTGTGTGAGTGAGTAAGAGTAAAGATGGAAAATTGTAGGTGAGGTGTGTGAGTAAAGGTAAAGATGGAAGATTGTGGTGTATATTGAGCAAATTTCTTATTTATCAAATTATTAAAGGTGTGTCTTGAGTAATGGTGTGCCTTGAGATGGAATGTGGTGTGTAAATAGAGGCACTCCATTCAAACCATTTGAACCATATAAATTTGGGCCATCAAGCATTTTTCTTAAGTAAAATGGGTAAATTATAAACACACCGTCTCACGTTTGGTTAAAATACCAATTGCTTTTTGATTTTAAAATTATAAATATTCTCATATAAATTTTTTTTATTTAATAGAATTAATTAAAAAATAAAATTCATAATTATTTTTTTATATAATAATAAAATTATCTAAATTATTAATTGAAATATATTTCTAACATTATTAAAAAATGTTAATTGACTTAATAATTTATTAATAAAATAGACGATTCCTTATGAAATTAGAAACCTCAGGGATAGAATGTAATTTCCTGACATAAAGAGGACAATTCGTATTTTAATTAAATCTCAGGGGATATATTTGTAATTTACTCAAGTAAAATTGTGTTAGTTTTGATGATAGTTGTTAGGACCCATTCGTTTTCAGATATAGATTGGGTGAGATTGTTAGTGTGTGGATTATTAGTGAGGGGATTATGAAAATTGGTATTCGTTTGATAACCAGTGAACTAGCAATAATTCTTGTTTGTTTTGAGAGATGTGAGTGGGTTTAGGGTGCCTCTATTTACACACCATCTTTCATTTCAAGGAACACTATTTTCTAAAAAAATAATTACAAACACACCACCCCTCACCTCACTGGAATTGTGTCGTTACCGCCATCAGTCCCAGCACAACGCCAGCCATCTCCTAACTCTCCACTTTCGTGATCCCTCTCCACAACCACTTCACGACTGATATCACTCCGGACCCCTACAATGGAAAACAAACGAGGCCTCTAATGGGTTGGGCTGACGAGTTGCCTCCTACGGACAACTAATAGAGCTACAAATGTCCAAGTTGTTCATGTTCAGCTTGGTTCGTTTTAATACTTCTTTGAGCTTACTTTATTTGATTAAATTTGAATGTAACTTTTAGACTCATTTAATAAATCGAGCTCGAGTAGATTCAAACTTGATTCGATGAGACTCATGAATATAAAGAAAATAAATTACTAATAACTTGAGATTAATTAAAAATATTTAACAAGTGTATGCTAATAGGGTACTATATGGCATTACCTTTTACCAATAATAAATGTATATATTCCCTATTGTTCCCCAAATACCCAATAATATGCTTTCTATTTCACTACATTCCACCAATCACAATAATAAAAGGTACTATATAGATATACCCTATCGGCATACAAATCTCTCTTGATTTCAACAATGCCTAAGGCTTCGTTTGATTACAAGAAATTTAATAGAAAGTGAAAGTGAAAGAAAAGAAATAAAAAAAGATAATATATTTTCTTACAAATATTTGATTAAGGTGAAAATTTTGTTAGAAAATAGAACAATTTAAAATTTTAGTTATAGATAACTCACATATTCAAATTTTTTATATTTTTTTTTACAAGAAATTTAAAATTAGTTACAATGCTAATGTGGGTTGTAGAAGAAAATTAATTTTCTTCTACTTTCTATCCCTTTCAAGCTAAACAAACTCATACAATTTAACTTTTTTTCTTTATCCCTCACTTTTTACCTATTTCATTCTAAATAAATTGAGTTCGAGAAATTTTTTATTTTTTAAATAAATAAATTATAATTTACCATTACAATCAAAACTTAATATTAACTCTTTTTAAATAAATAAATTCAACTAGCATGTCACCCGTGCTATGCACGGGATAAAATAATATATATTTATTAAAAATATGGTAATTGTATTTAATTTTTTTGTATTTTGTCTTTCGTAAATAAAATTTTATATATAAGTTTAAGAATTTTGTTTCAAATGTTCCTTTACTATAATATATAGTATATAGATTAAAATTGTTGTATTGACTATTAATAATTAAAATTATGTTTTGTTATAAAAAAAAATGACATAGTTCTAATACTTGACTATTTTAGAATAAAAATATATGAATTTTTAAAAATTGTCATATTAGTTTTTGAAAGGAAAATAATTAAAGAAATTTTAAAAACTTAATGAGTAAGAAAGAATTATCGTAACATGTAATTTAAAATATAAAAAAAAAGTTAAAAAATTAATTAAGACTTTAAAAAGATGTGATTACAATTAAAACTAATGTCATATTTATTAATAAGTATA